CAGGAATCCTTAAGTAACGGTGTGGTTGGTCCTCCACAGTTGTAGTTCGATCCAAGACAAGTGCTTAACTCCCAGCCTGTAGCTGTTAGATTGCGCCATGAGGGATTGCCTCAGTAAATTGAGCTCCAAGGAGCAGAACTAAAGCCTCTCTGTTTTAAGGACTCACTCCATTGACTTTCTTGGGAGCTGGATTGGCCTCCATGTGATTTAGCCATTAAGCCAAATTGAATCTTCACTAGCTGTCAAAAGCATTAGACACTAGTTAGACCAGGAGCAACCAGTTGTTGTAGAACTCTGACCTCTTGCTGCTGGTCCAGAACGTAGTCGTAGGCAGAAGGTTTTGCTTGCAGTATGCTCAATTGCCTTAATCACCTCTTCCTTGGCAAGCGGAGGCAGAGAGCTGCGGAACTTTCTTCTGTGTCGGTGAGCGAGGTGGAAAAGAAACCTCGGCGCTTGGCTGCTCTCTTCAGCAGAAAATCTGGCTAGAAGACATATTGCCATGTCCTTCAGAACATCCTAGGTTTTTTTCCACGTTCCTTAATCTCCCCCACCAGATACAGCTGGTGATAATTTTGCAGCTAATGCCAAACAGCTCTGCTTGGCATGTGGGATCTGCCCTGCGAGCATGCAGGATGGTCATGGGAGAGCAGATGTCAGCCTGATGGTAAGAGTGTGAAGAGCAAGAGCTGGGGTGGTGGAGGGAGGTAAGCTGCTGTAAGATGGAGTAGCTCTGCTTGTGGGGGGATGCCAGCTCTTCACTTCGCAGACTCCTGTCAGCCTGCGAGTGCTGATGGGATCTCATGGAGCATATGGTTTTGTGCCTGTCTGGGAAATTAATGGGAAGAACACACCCAACATGCATTTTCAGTTTATTTTGAGCTTTGTTGTTCTAGATTGTTTTTCAATATTTCTCTCTTCTCCCAGCTAGTGTGGCAAGGAGAGTAGCCACTGTTATCCTTTATATCATAAACCCTGAGCAGAGCAAATAAAATGCTCACTAGCCTGAATTTTCAAGACTACTTGTTAATTTTGACGCTGGATTTTCTGGGGTATGATGCATCTACAGCCCCCACAGACTCCTGAAAATGCAGCTGAGAGTATCTTGGAAAAGATGGCACTGAAATCTTGTGTTTGCCGTTTAAAACAGAGGCCCCTCTGCATGGCGAGTCCTGTCTGTGCGGGAAGAGTCTGGACACGAGATGGCGCAGGCTGGCAGTGAGGGCTTGCAGCTCAGCCCTGCTCTTGGAGGAGGGCGCCTGGTAACACCTCGAGCAGAGGTGAGCTGCTGTGCTCCAGGGTAGAGGTGTGCACCTGTCTCATCAGCACTCCCACCCCTGCTTGCTCCTCCCTGGAAAGCAATGACTTCTCTGGACACTGTCTCTGAACGAGGTCCTCTTAGCAGAGACAGGCAAAGAGTCCGTGGATTTATTTCAAAAGGATGCAGTATTTCTGAAAGGAATACTGTTGGGACTGTAGGGATGATGTATCCCTACAATGATAGTATGGGTCTCTGGTGCAGGTGGTAGGAAATGGGCGAGTTCTGAACTATTCCATTTTCGCAGCTCTGAAGGGAAGAAGATGCAGTACTGTGGTGGTCTGTGAGATTTGGGGGAATTTCCAGAGTCCACATGGATGGAGATGACTCTCTTCTTTCCTGCTCTTGACTGTGCTGTCAGGTCAGAAATCTGCCAGGGAAAAAGAAGATGGGGTGGGGAAGTTCTGTTTGGAGGCAATGTGACCAGAAATAGAAATATTTAGGGAACAAGAATGCAGCAGTTGCAATAAGAGGAAGAGGAGACTTGTTTTTCTGTTCTGAAGGGTGAAACAACAGAAACTGGGGGATGATCAAAGCAGTTATGAAAACATGATGAATTCGTTGCAGTTAAGGCAGCTGCCAGTGCGACAGGAATAAGCACAGCTCTGCCTGACGGCGTCTCTTTTCCCGCAGGCTGTGTACAAGCTGGCGGACGTGGCCTGCAAGTGCCACGGCGTGTCGGGCTCCTGCAGCCTCAAGACCTGCTGGCTGCAGCTGGCTGACTTCCGCAAGGTGGGCGACCTGCTGAAGGAGAAGTACGACAGTGCCGCTGCCATGAGGATCAGCCGCAAGGGCAAGCTGGAGCTGGTGAACAACCGTTTCAACATGCCGACGCAGGAGGACCTGGTCTATGTCGACCCCAGCCCGGACTATTGCCTGCGCAACGAGACCACTGGCTCTCTAGGCACCCAGGGCCGACTGTGCAACAAGACCTCAGAGGGCATGGATGGGTGTGAGCTGATGTGCTGTGGGCGGGGCTATGACCAGTTCAAGAGCGTCCAGGTGGAGCGTTGCCACTGCAAGTTTCATTGGTGCTGTTATGTCAAGTGTAAAAAGTGCACAGAGATTGTTGACCAGTATGTCTGTAAATGAAAGGAGCCACCAAAGCAACAAATCTATATTATATAAATCTATATAAATATATTTTATATTTGTATAAATAAACAGATGATGATAATAATTAAAGATGCTTATTTAAGAGACATTTTGGTTTTGAAATTCCCCCCATCAGGCCAGCTGGTTTGCCATTCTTTCAGTGCTGCTGGGGAGTTTGCATTTGAGTTGCATCTGCCCTTGGGATGTTGCAGTCAGGGTGAAGAGGCTGAGGAGGTGCTGACAGAGTGAGCTCCCCCCTACTCACAAGCACACACTATTTCATTACAGAAACAAAGTCAGCGAGGAGGAGAAGCACGGGCTCTTTCTGCTCTCTCGTCAGTAAATCGCAGCATTTTGCATAGTTATTGCACATCTGAAATTACAGCCAGATGTGGGTGAGTCCTAGTTACCCGAGTTCAAACCCTGCCACACCACTAAATGCACTGGGGAATTTGGAACCACTTCTTGATCCATCTAAATGGCTTTGTCATGTTAGAGGGAAAGTTAGCCAAAGCTCTACAAGACTATGGCTTAAAATCCACAGTCCATCCATGTACACTGCACAGACCACATTGTGGTGGAGGAAGGTTCACAATCTGCTGTTGTGAGGAAGGAAGGAAGGAAGGTGTGACCTGTGGCTGACCAGTGCCCAGCCTGGGAGTCCCCACGAAGCCAGCAGCTCACTCTTCTGTACTGTCTGGGCAAAGGGGAAATTTTTCCAGCTCAGACTACATGGCTTTGTGCATGAAGGAGAGTTATCTTTTTTTTTTTTTTTTCATTTTAATCCCATGCTGAAACTTAATTTGTCAATATAGGGAGAAGCTGCCAATGCCCAGGGCTGTTTCCAAAGGCAATACACTTCCTGTTTTGTCAGTAGGAAGACGTTGCATGCACACCCGTGCAGGTGACTGCAGAAGCACTGCTCAGCCTGCTGCTCGTTTTCCTTTTAGAAGTGGCTGCAGGTGGTCACCTTGTTCAGCTCTGTTAAGTCCTCCTCACCACCATCCCAGATGTATAGTTTCTCTTTAACATTAAACACCCCTCAATGACATTTCTTTCCTCTGTTGCTTGTGTATGTGTGTGGGTTTGTTTTATTCCAGTGGTGGGGTGTCTATATTTGGCCACACTGTATTTCAGAGTCCAGGGGCCATGCTCTTCCCTGACATAAGCTAACCACGGAGGCGTTTGCTGCCAGAATGTGGGTATATGTTCACCGATGGAACTCTTTTCTGTGTTTGTCCTTGGTAATAGAAGACTATAATAAAATTATACTGGGGCAGAAGGCATTACCAAAGTCTGCTAATCAGTCTTAGCGTGTTGAGATTTTCGTAGAATACAATTCATATGAATGCTGTTTCTAGCACAAGATATTTCCTGTGCCTCTCAGCATCTGCAGAGTTCATTTGCAGTCAGAACAATCACAAGAAGCTGGTCCCCAAAATATAAGGGTTTGCTGATATACGTCTCTTTTGTTACTGACATTCCAAGGGTGGTTTTTTTTCTATAAATTTTAAAATGCACAAAATATGCCAATAAGCAAAGAGCCAGTCATGAAGATTATTTTTATATTAAACCTCTGTTTCTGATAAAGCATTGCAGTTTTACAGATTCCACCATTTCAACCACCAGAGAAGAATTTATATGTACCTTTCATACTTCAAATATTTGAGGACTCCAGAAAAGGACAAGGAAGAAAAATTATGTTTAATAATTAGGAGCTGTTGTTGTTTTAAACCAATGTGTCCAGGTTTTATTTTATTTTTTTTTTACCCAACAGGCAATTTATTTGCTGGCATCCCAGAATGCAGTTTCTTGGAATATAAACAGTGGCCTAGATTTATTTTATTATATAAAATCCAAAGCCAGTGGTATTGTAATTCAAAGTAACGGAAATAGTTTTCCATGCATGGAAAAAATGTGAGTGCGATGGCCTGATCCAACTCCCATTAAACTTCAGTGGTAGCTGGACTGAGCCCAAGATCGGATCAAATGTGTGAGCTATTCACTCCTGGGATACTGTATGTTTCTAGCCCAGTAATAAAACTTACTCTACCTTGGATACATCAAAAAAAGACCTTTCCTCCCACCACCCTCACCTCATGTTCTAGTCCATCCTTATTGCGTCAGTACTTAAAGGTGTCAGTTATTTGTATATGACACCCTCAGGCATTGTTAATGTGTCTAATAATTCAAAATGATTTCATTTGGCCTTTCCAGTGAAGACCACACGTTTAAGGGAGTTGCAACTCTCCTTGCAGTTTGGCACTACAATTAATTTTGTGGGTGTAAACAATTTGGGAGAGGAAAAGTTGGCATTGTTAGGGCTACTATTCATCCTGGATGATGTCCTGCTTTTTCCACCTCAGATGCTGTCTGGATGGAAAAAAGATGATTTTTGGCCTTTTGTTCCAGCGCTCTGGACCACTGGCAGCCTGTTTGGAGCCAGCAGTTCCCATTGGACTGGGACCATACAGCAATAGAAGTGACCATTGGATTTCTCCCCACCTCCCCCCTCCTGCCTTTTCTTTACAAGACCTAGGTTTCAGTCTTCTTTACTTTCTGGGAGTTTTGTATCCAAAAATTTGATCCTGCTAAACTGTAGCTTAAAACTTAATTTCTATGGCGCCCACACATAAAAGAACCTCATCAGGGTGATAGTAAGTATAAAATAAGAGCACAGCCAGTTTGGTTTGATGCAAAGCCAAAGAAAGTTAAACAGAAAGCTGTAGCAGAACTGCTCCTTTACCATGAAAGTTACAAAGAGGTGGATTTTAAGTTGTGCCTTTTTAGATAGATGCACAGAGTGGTAGAGGGATGTAAGGGTGGCAAGCTAAGCTTGATTCTGAGCTCTGCCAATTATCTGCTTTGTAAACTTCAACATGTTACTTAATTGCTTTGCATTTTAGCCTCCAGCCTCCTCCTGCATAAAATGAGGAGCAAAAAACCTTTTTCTGTAAAGCTCTTTGAGCAATATGGCTGAAAAAAAGGTAATTGAAGGCCTACCCTCTACGGTCATTAACTCTGGCAGGCAGACAGCTGTATCCCCATTGTGCGAGGACACGCTCAATTCGGGACAGAGCGGCTCAGCGGCACCTCGGAGGGTCAGATGCACAGAGGTGGTTGCTGGGGGGCTCAGCAGGAGCCTTGGAGAGGCTGTTGCGGTCAAGCCTTACTACCCTGGCACAACAGTGGAGGGAAGACTGTTTTACAAAAGAGAGGTGAACTCGGGGCTCGTTTATTTATGGGTATTGAATATTTTGTAGCAAGAGTAAGGCTTAGAGAAGTTGGCCTGGTTTCTGAATCACATACCTGCCTGCTCCAATTCTGTTTGCAGCTCACGTGGATAAGATATTCACACAATACACTATTATATAGTGTGTGCTGGTAACTGGCTGCCACATTCCAACCCTCAAGTCGCTGCGCTTCAAGGCTGATAGAAATGACCACCCGTAAGCCATGTAAAACTAAAATATTTTGGAGTTAAAGGCACTATGCAAATACACGGTTATTGCAAGTCGGTGAATGTCAGCTCCTAACGGAGCAGAACAGGATGCAAATCTGTCATCATTTTCCAACTGGCTGGTAATACATAAGTTATAACGTGAATGAATGAGGCCTTAGTATGTTCTGCGGCAAGGTAAGGTAAGCAATAGCTGATCCCAGGACAAACAGAAACTTTCATTTTATATTAATTATGGTGAAAAGATAGTGGCAAGGTTGTGTGAAAATTTAAATGAACCTCTTAATGTTGCTGGATTCTAGACCATCTGCATTGTTTGGAGGCTCCCATTCTTTGTCCCCCCCAAAGTCTGTGCCTACCCAGAGCTCAATGTAACAGAGAGACTGCTGCCTGCAGCAGTTCAGGAAACAGCAAAGCTGAAACCGGACGTGCAGCACAAGCACAACTTACACTTTCTATCTGGACCCAAGTTTTGCAGCCCTGACAAAGCACAACTGAAGCAGATCTTGTTCAGTTGTATAAATCAAACACACAAGGGTCTCATTCTGCTCATTTGACCGTGTCCAGGCAGAAGCCTAGTGGCTTTAAATTACACTGTGGGAGCAATTCCTAATCACCTGTGGGTACAGAAATATAGAGACTATTTTCATCAGCTGACACAGGCACAGGACATCGCAGGGAGACCTTGGGAAATATCTCCAGCAACTAAAGGGCATTTCTTCAGTGTCTGTCACAAAGTTTTCCAGAACCTGCTGCTTATATGGTTATTCACTTTCATTTAGCTTTTATTTAACAACATTTCAAATTTAACAGTCCCTGGAAGATACTCTATGAAATCAAGTTCACTGAGTGACAGTCTCCAAAGGAACTGTCATATGACAGAGAGTGAGGAGATATGAACGTAATACTGGATCCCGTTCTCCTCAAAAGTAGACTCTGACTGTGTCTAATCCATGGGACCCAGAGATGTGTCACATCTCCTTGGTCCAGAGGTGTATCCTGGCCATGTCCTGACCCCCTGCCAGTGCAGTGAAGGCACAGATACCCCATATGCAAGGCTGATGGATGCAGAGACCCCCGAGCAGGTAGCCTGTCCCAGTTGCAGCTTCAGGGTGTAGATAGCTGGTGTCTTTGGGACTGGCCCACGTTGTGAGCATACCAGCTCTGGAGTCTAAATATAACCAGCCTCAAAGATAAATGAAATATGTTTCTGTGGCCAACAAGATACATACCAGAAAGGATAATAAGAATCATGATTGGCTGTTGTAAACCTTAAATAACAATAATACAATGTGTTTGTATAACACAGTGATCACAGTATGCTTGTCCTTCAACCCATTATTGGTCTTCTGCAGGGCCTGAAGCTGTTAATATACCCTCTTCTTTCTTAGCTCCTTTTAAATGACAGCTGAAATCTAATTTTTTTTTTTTTTTGCATTAAGACTCTGAAAGACATGACCCACTCATAGCACTTCCTTAAAGAGCAAAAGAGAGAAAGGGAGAGCAGTAGGGATAAAATGCAGGAGCGTTTATTATTTTATTATTTTATTAGATGGTGTACTAAATATTGCCCTGTAACACTCAAGTTGGACACCTGCCCTAAGTGTCACAGCTACCTCTGCACGCTGCCTGCCCAAAGCAAACTGGCTCTGATGGCCCTGTGCTAA